CATGCAACACTGAACTGAGAGAGAGAGAGAGAGAGAGAGAGAGAGAGAGAGAGAGAGGAGGGAGGAAGGGGGGGTGTTATACCAGTGAAAAGCAGCGGACAACTTTGAGCCGGAGGAAGGATCGAGAGACTTGACAATGCAATGGAAGAAACAGACCAACATTTCAATTTTCAAGTCTACAAAATGAAAAATGATACATTTTCAACTTTACAAGTCTAAACTGGACCATTGGACTCATACTTTTCTGCTGATATTATTATATGATTATGTCAATTTTGAAGAAAAAATATACATTTTACTGATCATTGTGTGTTTAATGGCGTTTAATCTTCCACTTTATTTTCTTTAGATTCTAGTGAGTTTACACGTTCAAACCTTACGAATGAGAGTTAAGTTTAGAATTAATTGAAAAAAACATCAATGATTATGTATGGACTAGGAATGTATGATGTCAATTGTGTGTCAAATTTATATAGTTGGAATTTTTCACTTTGTCAAGATTGGTGGTAGATGACTCAACATGATTGAAAAATGGGACAATTTATTGGTTTGGTTTGGACTCTGGTGAGAGAGGGGTCCTTAAAGTTTTTGTCAAGTGCCATATCATTTACGGTAGGCAGGATATGTTGAAGCAATGTCAACGGTGTGGGTCCCAAATCGAGGAGGGAGGAGTGCATTTTTGCATCCTACTCTCAAATATTGGTAATGCTCATCACTCAACTTATTACCACTAAATGAGTTTAAGTTTTGAATTTTATGTTTATCAACTACATATATTTTAAAAATTTTAATTCATGCAACAATGATAAATAGAGTAGTGAGCATCGACATTCCCTGAGAATGGTGATCAAAATATTCCATGTATCCAAGTGGGAGCATGTATCCTTACTCCATGTACAAAGGTCAAGATTCAACTTCCATGAGTTTTAAATACAATATGGCAGGTTTCCATTAGTATGTAAAGCATGTCTTTACTGCAAGTGTACGTTACAATTATAAAGAGAATAGTGAGCATGCCATCATTGGAGAATGGTGATCAAAATATTTCCTGTATCCAAGTGGGAGCATGTATCCTTACTCCAAGTACAAAGGTCAAGATTCAACTTCCATGAGTTTTAAATACAATATGGCAGGTTTCCATTAATATGGAAAGCATGTCTTTACTGCAAGCGCACGTTGCAAGTAGTAATCTTGCTGCCCTGGAAAAGTTTCTGTGACTCGTCTACCTACAAATGTGAAATGACATGATACCCTTTAGAGGGGTAAGTGTTGACCTGACCAATTATTTGTTGAACTCGAAGATACAAATGAATGACGTATTTGATACAAAATTATTTTAACATGCCTTAGGTCGATTATTTCTGTTGTTGGTGATGTTTCTCTCCTCATACTTACTCTCATACAAACAATGTGCTCTATTAAATCTGTCCCTTTAACTTTAAGCATGAACGACGACTATTTCATTTAAACTCTGTGCTTCAAAATAAATTATTTTGCAAGCTTCTATATATTCAGTTGCATCAATCTGATGTTCATGGATTTGTGTATTTTGCTCATATACGTGTAAGTCTACAGACAAAGAAGAGTGGTTGCATAGTGGTATCAAATTATGACCACTCCTGATGTGTTCTCATATTCTTTTTTTGTGGAATATAATCTTTGCTGGTAAAGCTTGTTGCACATTTTATCAACGGCATGTATATACAAAATCACCAAGGCATGCCAACGAGGGTTGGCTCTGTTGGTAAGCTCCATGTCTTGTGTGTCGCCCCATCAAGGTTTGAATCTTGTTGCCAGCAGTTCTCATTGTTGCGTGATGTGTACACGGACAGAGCCACCTTAGGCTCAGAGCATTTTCGGCCATAAAATTTATGAAGATAGATTGTGAAATTGTATGAGAGACTAATGGATAAATGATAACATGGTTATTTTTGTAGAAAGAGATGTTTTATGGTATTGGTAATGAGGTTATTATGCAACGGTTTCAAAACATAAAAACGCATCGATGGATATTGTGATATGTTGTATGAAAAACCTTATGAACTAATATATAAGTGTTTTATTTAGTATATTCTTGAGCTTTTTAATTTGTCATTTTGACTCATTTTGTTGTTTAAAGATGCCCCCATCCATGTAGATCTCTGGCTTCGTCCTTGGATGTGTAAATTTCTATGTAAATTCATACCGATAACAATTGGCAATTAGGTGTCGCGCGTAGGTTCTTTTGGCTCGAGGTTGTGAGTATGCCCTACAACGGATGGTGGAAATAACCAACCTCCTCCCAAACTTTTTTTTACCCAAAAAAAAAAAATCATTGCAATCCCTGTATACAATTGTACCTAGATTATCACAAGTTTTAGGGCACATTTTATACACAAGATTAGCTTGACTCGGACTAATTATAGAGACCGACTTGGATTTGAATTTGACTTGGGTCGAGTAATGGCCTAAAATAAGCCCATAGAGATGAAGTATAATCTCAACGTATTGAGTAGTTAATTAATCCATGTTTGGTCTTAAGTAGAAACTTTATGGGAAATTGGTTAAAATGATGAGGATCAATGCTCAATTGCGAGATAATCAAAATTAGATATCAATCAAATATTGATGATATAACGTTCACAACATTACAAAAACTTATTCTTCAGCAATTTAAGTTTTAATTTCGCTAACTTTAAGTTACTTAACTGTGGGCTGAATAATGAGAGCTTGAAAACCAAAGTCGAATCGGTTGCGTTTGGGATTTGAGTAATGACAGTTCAATCATACTTGCGTCATTCGTTAATGATTATATGAAAAAAAAAAAATTAGAATCCCCCACTCTTTTTTACATAATTTTTATTAAACATTTTTTTCTTTTAAAATTTTGATTAAGACATTTTAACTAGTGTCCACCTAATCATTTTTAAATATATTTTATTTACATGTCATTAGTTTATTTTTTAAAAATAAAAATGATATTTCCCACTTTATCCTTTTAGTTGATAAGGGGAATTTTTTTGGCTTGTCAGGATTTATACCTTTTTTTAGGGATATTATTAATGGCTATTAACTAAATCACCAATACTATCTATAAACTTTGAAATTTGAAATTTTTTTTGGTGTCAGGGTTTATTACCCTTTTGTTGGCTCGTTCACATCATAAAATTATTATTGAAATATAAAAGTTGTTGATAAAAAGGATGAGTTTGGAGTCTTTGGATTGAGATTAGTGCTATTCGGCATGGGATATATAAATGTGAATTTTAAATTGAAATCAATTTGAAACGTATTCAGGTCAATTTGAAACATACCAATAACAACTTGAAACGTACCGGTGCTAAATTGAAACGTACCCATTTCACCTTGAAATGTATCGATGCTAAATTGAAACGTACCCATATATAAATGTGAATTTTAAATTGAAATCAATTTGAAACATATTCAGGTCAATTTGAAACATACCAATAACAACTTGAAACGTACCGATGCTAAATTGAAACGTACCAATTTCACCTTGAAACACTTGAAACGTACCGATGCTAAATTGAAACGTACCCATTCTAACTTAAAACGTATCAATATATCGGTTTGAAACATACCAAATTATCCTTTAAAAGAAAATGTACCACTAAATTCTATTTCCCAAATGTACCATGATACGTGAAAAAGATGGAAAGATGGGTAAAAAGTGTGCTAAAACAAAAAGCATACCCTTTGATATGGATACTCAAATCTTGGTGTGCATAAAATGAAATATGAAGGAAATGAATATGACCAACAAGGGAGAACGAAAGAGGGTTTGATCGGCCGATCGAGGAAAGCAATGACATGAAAAAATTGCTAATGGTTGTAGAAGAAGATAGCACGTTAGTTACTTGTATGGTGTGCAGTTAGGAATAAAATGCACGTTAGAAGCATAATTAGATCAGGTTTGATGTGTTAAGATTTTTAAAACTAATCTACTACATTTTAGGAGATTTGGGATATTAACATGATAATTATTAATTAATTAAAGGTACATCATAATGGCAAATCGTGTAATATGGCATTAAAAAGATGTTATTTATAAGATATCTTAACAATACATTTAAAAGATATCTTAACAATTACAATGAAAGAGAATAATACAATACACTTTTAGGGGCGCGTAGCACCCGTGATACAAAAATGCCTCTCGCACGCACGCGTGCGGAGAGGCTAGTAATTGTAGGAAGAATGTTTAATCAAATTCTTAAAAGCAGCAGGTTTAAAAGCAGCACATTTCAAACTGCTTGAAACTCTCTCCAAATTAAGTACGTAGAGCTGAAGAAAACTTGCACCACCGAACCAAACATCCTCCATAAAATGCTCCACCGCCATCCTTATCATAGAGGAGGAAAACAAAAGAGAGACTAGACCTAGTGACTACTGCTGCAAATATTGATTCATCTGTAACAGGTACATATACTTTCTGACGATCAGCTACAAAGGAAAACCACAAACTTGGTTTTTCTTGCATAGCATTAGCAGGTGCGGCTTCACTTCCTCTGTATTTTTCTTTTCAGTTCTTTATCTTTTCTCATGGTTTGTATCCTTCGCTGCCGCACATCGATCTTTTCTTCTTGAAGCAAAGGTTTTCTTTTTTCTGTTCAATCTTTTTGATATTACAACTTTATTTATCAAGAACGAGCGTATTACGTGCATGCAGATCAGTCGAACTAGGAAATTTTAATTAGTCTCGGTCTGTTTTTATTGAAAATTTAGAGTCAATTTACGCCTTAAGGTTTCGGCATGCAATACAGTAGCATGATTTTGAGTTCGATTCCCTTTTCTACTTTTCCATGGCTCGTCAGGGTTCATATGAACTTTGAAGGCATATGGCGGGGTTTTTTTGTTTATTACAGAAGTTTGCTCGAAGTATTTTAGTGGAATGTGTGCATAATGAAATATTTGAATCAAAGCAGATAACGATATTAGGCGGTAAAATGGAAGGAATCAATGAAGCTCTAAATGACATAGAGAACCCCTATGATCCATGACTCGAGGAGTTGCGTAACTTGTTACCCCTGTCCCCTTTGCGGTGCATCTATAGAGTTCCTGAGCGACTACGGCAGGGAAATGAGAAAGCATACACACCTCAAGTAATCTCCATAGGCCCACTTCACCATGGCAAGGAATACTTAAAAGCCATGGAAGAGCACAAAAAAAGGTACCTGCGACATTTTCTAAGTCGAACTGGGGTAAGCTTCTTTGATTATATACAAATGATAAAGGAGCAAGAGGGAAGGTTGCGAGGTTTTTATGCAGAATCCATTGAGTTTAGCAGTGATCAATTTGTAAGAATTGTTTTAGTGGATGCTGCCTTCGTCATTGAGTTCTTATTGAGGAACTATTCTGTAAATTTTCGAGGTGAAGATGATTACATTTTTAACAAACCAATGATGAAGCGGGATGTGCGTCCAGACTTGCGGTTGCTTGAAAATCAGCTGCCATTCTTCATTCTTCAGGTTCTTTTCAACACAACCTTTTCTTCTGCGAATCAGCAGCCTTCGTTACTTAAAATTTCCTATTTTTTTATCAAAGGCGTAATCTATAGCAGGGAAAAAGAAGACAATTTTGACAAAATATGTTCTTCTGGAGGTAGAAGTACAACATTTTGTTGATCTGATAAGAATTCTGTACCTACCGTTGAAATCAAAAGCCATAAAGAAATTTAAAACCACAGCCGCACCCAACATCACAGAGCTACTCCAGGCTGGAGTCAAGTTTAAGGCAGGAACCCACCACAGCTTATTTGACATAAAATTCTCTGGTGGGATCCTTGAAATTCCGAAGATAACAATAAATGATACCACAAATATGACAGTCAGAAATCTACTTGCTTTTGAACAATGCCATACTAAAGAGGCAAATTACCTAACTAATTATGTTTTCCTCATGAAGCGTCTCGTGAAAACCCCAAGGGATGTGGAATTGCTTGTTGAGTATGGAATTATTGAAAATTGGCTAGGTGATACCAAGAAGATATCTACTTTGCTCCATGACCTTGGCACTAGGGTCATCGTTAGCAACCACTATTATGCCATTCTTTGTGAAGATCTGAACAACTACTGCAGAACTCCCAGGCACAAATGGATGGCAAATTTGAGACAAAATTATTTTAACTCGCCTTGGACGATTATTTCTGTTGTTGCAGCTCTTATTCTCCTCATACTCACTTTCATACAAACTGTGTGCTCTATCAAATCTACTGCTTAAGCACCAACGACCGCAAGTGTCTCCTTCTCCGGAGGATTTGCAAGTCTCTCCTTCACCGTATCCTCCGTATCCTTACAAGTCTAGCCTAGTCTTTGAGAGTACAGAGTTTGCATTAGCAATCTCAGGTTTCCTTGAAGTGAGTGTAATAGGTGTTCCAACAAAATAAAGTATTGAATTGTGGATTTTATGTTGGTTGTATTTTTTCCACAAGAAGTGAAGATTTCCATTAAAATGTTGCTTTAAGCATCACTTTACTGATCTTAGTAAAGACATCACTGCATAACACAGAAGCGCAAGGCAATGTTGAAACAATACTCTTTCAATCTCCATACTCTCTACTTTTTATTGTTGTGGTCGCTGCAGTCAACTTCCATTCAAACAGTGTGTCTAATCTCTTACTTTCGGCATCACCTGTTATTATTACTGGATTGTAGTTAGTTCATGACCAAGGAAACTGATGAACATGAAATGATCAGTCTGTTGTCGAGTGATGTTAAGAACTCCTAGAACATACTGAGTTAAACTCATCGTAGTTGCTGCAACAACTTCTCCAATTCTTGCTAGTTCTCCACAACAACCCCGACTTCGATGAATTCTTCACTGATCAATGAATCACAAAACAGCCTCTGATATTTGAGCTCACATTGTAAGACACTCGTTGCTTAAACATGAATCCTGTGTACAAAAAATGAGTCTCCTCTATATGTAACCACTCTGGCCTCAGCCCCCACCATATATGGCCTTGCAGTTGCAAAGCTCCTTTCATCCCTGCTGTTTCCCATACAAACTCGAAAAGCCCAAGTGCACAATCCTTCCCATGCACAAGCATAAATCATTCTCACTACCACATCTATAAACCCCACCGCGTACATCCACTTCAATATCTCTAACATGCCCATAGAGGTAAAAAAACAGAAGTGTGAACAAGCACTGGGATGAATGACCCAATGTCTTGGTCAACTTCTTCTGCACTAGGCTTTCTTGATGCCGGACTTCCTTGTGTCCTATGCTTCTAGGAGTCAGCACATCCTTGACTTGAGACAACCCCTCTTTCATGACCTCAAGCTTTGCTACAGAAACGAGTAACTCTCTTTCTTTTTTCAACCAAACAATGAGGTTGCTTTGCAACGGAAACAAGTAACTCCCTTTCATTTTTCAACCAATCAATGAGGTTGTTGTGAAGAAGTTAAGATTTCACCATAAAACCATTTGACAATATGGGAAGTAGTCCAACCTCTTACAAGCTCGTGCAAGCTCCCACCATAAAACCATTTGGCAATATGGGAAGTAGTCCAACATCTTACAAGCCTATGCAAGCTCCCTTCCCCCATCAATGTGGGACTCATTCTTAACACACCACCTCACGTGTGGCGAAGTTTCAATCCTAACACATAGACAACACAACAGGGGGAGTGATTTCACAATCATGGGCTCCCTTTCACTAGGTGTACCGAAACACGAACGGGTTATAGATTCTACCTCCTGATAATGCCGCTACATTATTCTTCAGCGCTTTCTGTACCAGTGAAGCACCAGTAAAGTTCCTGGCAAGTGACTTGAAGATAAGCATTCTGTTTTCAACACGATCGTCAATGATAATCCATCAATCAAGTAGACATTTTTCAACAACTGGGTTACTCAAAACTGTGACAACGCCCAGCATGAGACAGCTACACCGGGCTGGAGTCAAGTTTAAGGTGGGATCAAGCAAAAACTTATTCGACATACGATTCAGTGATGGGATTTTGGAAATTCCCCAAATTAACATTATGTGATGCAACATGGCTTACAATCAGAAATCTGATGGCCTTTGAACAATGACAATGCATCGAGAATTACATATATGATTATGTTTTCACCATAAGATGTTTCGCAAACTCACCGGAGGATGTGAAGTTTGTTTGAACGGTATGGAATTTTGGAAAACAGGCTGTGTAACAGCAGTGAAGGGTGCTCTCTGATTAACAACCCTGCGGATGGGGTTATCATGAACCCTAATTACTTATGTTTTGCTACTCTTTGTCAAGACCTGAACAAGTACTGCACAGGGCCATGGCACAAATGGAAGTCGAAATTGATAAAACATTTTTTCAACTCGCCGTGGGCAACTAAAGAAATTATTGCAGTTGTTATTTTGATAACGCTCACAGCCATACAAGCAGTGAGCTCTGTTATCTCTGTTACTAAGGGTTGATTAAATTCTGGTCTCTAAGTTCGAAAGTTTTTATCAGTTGAAGCAAAATAAAGGTTTGTTTGACTTGTTCATCGGGATGAAGTAGTAGAGACGGTCAATATAAATTTGATTTTGATACAAATTTGTAAGACTATGGTTTGCTTACATCTTATGCAAATCAAACAGTTGAATAAATGGACTTGTTAGTTTAAATGACTAAAGCCGCCCCTTAAATTGTTCATTGACTTTAAGAAAATAAAAAATAAAATAAACAGAAGTCTTCCATTGACCCAAGAAAAGAGAGAATGTTTCCATTCCCTATACCAGAGGATCAAAATGATCTGCATTCATATTTTCTGACGATCAGCTCCAAAGGAAAACTACAAACTTGGTTTTCTTACATAGCATTAGCAGGTGCGGCTTCACTTCCTCTGTATTTTTCTTTTCAGTTCTTTATCTTTTCTCATGGTTTGTATCCTTCCGCGTAGCTGCACATCGATCTTTTCTTCTTGAAGCAAGGGTTTTCTTTTTTCTGTTTAATCTTTGATTTTACAACTTTATTTATCAAGATCCAGCGTATTACGTACATGCAGATTAGTCGGGCTAGGAAATTTTAATTAGTCTCGGTCTGTTTTTATTGAAAATTTGGAGTCAATTTACGCCTTAAGGTTTCGGCATGCAATACAGTAGCACGATTTTGAGTTCGATTCCCTTTCCTACATTTCCATGGTTCGTCAGGGTTCATATGAACTCCGAAGTTTGCTCGAAGTATTTTAGTGGAATGTGTGCATAATGAAATATATGAATCAATGCAGATAACGATCTTAGGCGGTAAAATGGAAGGAATCAATGAAGCTCCAAATGACATAGACAACCCCTATGATCCATTACTCGAGGAGTTGCGTAACTTGTTACCCCTGTCCCCTTTGCGGTGCATCTATAGAGTTCCTGAGCGACTACGGCAGGGAAATGAGAAAGCATACACACCTCAAGTAGTCTCCATAGGCCCACTTCACCATGGCAAGGAACACTTAAAAGCCATGGAAGAGCACAAAAAAAGGTACCTGCGACATTTTCTAAGTCGAACTGGGGTAAGCTTCTTTGATTATATACAAATGATAAAGGAGCAAGAGGGAAGGTTGCGAGGTTTTTATGCAGAATCCATTGAGTTTAGCAGTGATCAATTTGTAAGAATTGTTTTGGTGGATGCTGCCTTCGTCATTGAGTTCTTATTGAGGAACTATTCTGTAAATTTTCGAGGTGAAGATGATTACATTTTTAACAAACCAATGATGAAGCGGGATGTGCGCCCAGACTTGCGGTTGCTTGAAAATCAGCTGCCATTCTTCATTCTTCAGGTTCTTTTCAACACCACTTTTTCTTCTGCAAATCAGCGGCCTTCGTTACTTGAAATTTCCTATTTTTTTATCAAGAGCGCAATCGATAGCAAGGGAAAAGAAGACAGTTTTGACAAAATACGTTCTTCTGGGGTAGAAGTACAACATTTTGTTGATCTGATAAGAACTCTATACCTACCGATGAAATCAAAAGCTATAAAGAAATTTAAAACCACAGCCGCACCCAACATCACAGAGCTACTCCAGGCTGGAGTGAAGTTTGCGGCAGGAACCGGCCACAGCTTATTTGACATAAAATTCTCTGGTGGGATCCTCGAAATTCCGAAGATAACTATAAATGATACCACAAATATGACACTCAGAAATCTCCTTGCTTTTGAACAATGCCATACCAAAGAGGCAAATTACCTAACTAATTATGTTTTCCTCATGAAGCGTCTCGCGAAAACCCCAAAGGATGTGGAATTGCTTGTTGAGTATGGAATTATTGAAAATTGGCTAGGTGATACCAAGAAGATATCTACTTTGCTCCATGACCTTGGCACTAGGGTCATCGTTAGCAACCACTATTATGCCGCTCTTTGTGAAGATCTGAACAACTACTGCAGAACTCCCAGGCACAAATGGATGGCAAATTTGAGACAAAATTATTTTAACTCGCCTTGGTCCATTATTTCTGTTGTTGCAGCTGTTATTCTCCTCATACTCACTTTCATACAAACTGTGTGCTCTATCAAATCTACTGCTTAAGCATCAACGACCGCAAGTGTCTCCTTCTCCGGAGGATCTGCAAGTCTCTCCTTCACCGTATCCTCCGTATCCTTACAAGTCTAGCCTAGTCTTTGAGAGTACAGAGTTTGCATTAGCTATCTCAGGTTTCCTTGAAGCGAGTGTAATAGATGTTCCAACAAAATAAAGTATAGAAGAGTGTGATTTTAAATTGGTTGTTTTTATTCCACAAGAAGTGAAGATTTCCATTAAAATGTTGCTTTAAGCATCACTTTACTGATCTTAGTAAAGACATCAATGCATAACACAGAAGTGCAAGGCAATGTTGAAACAATACTCTTTCAATCTCCATGCTCTCTACTTTTTATTGTTGTGGTTGCTGCAGTCAACTTCCATTCAAACAGTGTGTCTAATCTCTTTCTTTCGGCATCACCTGTTATTATTACTGGATTGTAGTTTTTTCATGACCAAGGAAACTGATGAACATGAAATGGTAACGATTAATCATTTCAGCTATTTACAGCACTTGACATTTGCAGATGACCAATTTCACATATTCAAGAAATCATCAGTCTGTTGTCGAGTGATGTTAAGAACTCCTAGAACTTACTGAGTTAAACTCATCGTAGTTGCTGCAACAACTTCTCCAATTCTTGCTAGTTCTCCACAACAACCCCGACTTCGATGAATTCTTCACTGATCAATGAATCACAAAACAGCCTCTGATATTTGAGCTCACATTGTAAGACACTCGTTGCTTAAACATGAATCCTGTGTACAAAAAATGAGTTTCCTCTATATGTAACCACTCTGGCCTCAGCCCCCACCATATATGGCCTTGCAGTTGCGAAGCTCCTTTCATCCCTGCTGTTTCCCATACAAACTCGAAAAGCCCAAGTGCACAATCCTTCCCATGCACAAGCATAAATCATTCTCACTACCACATCTATAAACCCCACCGCGTACATCCACTTCAATATCTCTAACATGCCCATAGAGGTAAAAAAACAGAAGTGTGAACAAGCACTGGGATGAATGACCCAATGTCTTGGTCAACTTCTTCTGCACTAGGCTTTCTTGATGCCGGACTTCCTTGTGTCCTATGCTTCTAGGAGTCAGCACATCCTTGACTTGAGACAACCCCTCTTTCATGACCTCAAGCTTTGCTACAGAAACGAGTAACTCTCTTTCTTTTTTCAACCAAACAATGAGGTTGCTTTGCAACGGAAACAAGTAACTCCCTTTCATTTTTCAACCAATCAATGAGGTTGTTGTGAAGAAGTTATGGTTTCACCATTAAACCATTTGGCAATATGGGAAGTAGTCCAACCTCTTGCAAGCCCATGCAAGCTCCCTTCTCCCATCAATGTGGGGCTCATTCTCAACACGCCACCTCACGTGTGGTGAAATTTCAATCCTAACACGTGGACAATCAAACAGGAAGAGTGATTTCACAATCATGGGCTCCCTTTCACTAGGTGTAGCGAAACACATACGGGTTATAGATTCTACCTCCTGATAATGCCACTACATTATTCTTCAGCACTCCGAAACAAAAATTGCAACAGTAAGAGGACCATTACTTCATTGCGGCCATACATCAAACAGATGGCGTGCAAGTTTATTTTTTTCGCATAAGGCTTGAACAACCAACCAACCATTCAAGATTGCTTAATCAGGAATAACAAAGGTAAAGAGGGTGCGATTGAAACTTTCTCTGTAATCTTGTTGGGTACAGAAATCTTGAGTGGAGAAGGAAAAATAAAGCTATGGCTGGCGTATCTTAAATTTTGATTTAGAAACTGGACTTTATGGACGGGCTTGAGCTGGAAATCTTATGTTGGATCCGTCATTGAGAAATAGGCTGTCACTGGACGTGAATTGTAGCCCAACACACACACACACATATATATATAGGATAAGGGACAAATATTTTTACAAATTTGTAGCCTTCAGATTTTATAACATGGAATGATTCTTATTTATTCATTAAATGTCATGAATGCTTATGTAGATTTTAACTAATATTAAAGATAAAAATAAAACTTAAAAAAACATAAAATTTGGAAAATAAAATTAAAAATAAAATAAAATAAGGAAGAAACCAGGTCTCTGCAACCTCCTATCCCCCCAGGTCTGCAACTTCCTGCTTGAATCTCATTAGGAAAGCAAAATAAAAACCTAAATTCAATATTATTATTCATATATATGTATGATGATTAAATTCGGATTTGGAAAAAAAAAATTGTTTTGTCTGTTCATGTATTTGAAATCTTTTCTATTCTTTTAGTTTTTCAAATCAAACAAACAACTATAACGACCTGTCTCCAAAAAAATTTAGTTTTTATAATTTTAAAATGTGAATTTACGAAAATGCCCTTTAAGGAAAATACGTTGAATTTTGTTGACTGCCTTGTCATGGCACGTAAGATCCATTTTCTTGGCTATTCTTGTAGTACTCGTCGCTACGAACGCGTGGGCGCAAACGGAACATAATTTGGAGTTATAACAAATGAGTTATTAACGAATGAAATCGAGGACAAAATGATCAATTAATTATTTTCTAGAAGGCTTCAGATTTTTGGAGCAAAATCTAGAAAGCCACATGTGTGGCCCAGATTAAAGGAAATGAGAAATGGTCGGTGAAGATGTAAAATAAAGGAGAGAAATGAGGGAGAGGGGAAGGTTAATCAGGAAAGGGAAAGAAGATAGTGACCAATGGAGGAGAGAAGAAAGGAGGGGAAAGGAGAGAGTGGAGGAGCACCGGGTCACCTTTGACCCAGTTCCTCCCCGCTGACCCGACCCAATTTCTATGCACCCTAACGCCAATTCCAGTGTTTGCTCGATGAATTGACTGTCGCCACCACCTGCACACGACTCCACGACCCTTCTTCTTCAATGTCCACCCCAAACCCGATGGTTTTTTGTCTTGTTTTCGTGGGGATGGCGCCTGCAACACCGTGGGGGAGATCAATGGAAATCCACCATTTCTGAAGGTAAATGCTTCGACCACTACCACCATTAGCCTTCCTTTGAGCTCAGGAACAATGCACAATCATTGGTTGGAGCGTCGGAGTCGATTTGAGGACGAATCAAGGAACACCCTTTATAGGGTTTCCGACGAGTTGTAGTGAAATTGGGGCTTTTCCTGGCCAAATTGGCCTTAGTCACAGGTATGAAAGTTGCTTCACTCATCGAGATCTTCATTCTTGTAAAATTGGGAATTTTTAGAATTGTTCGATTTTCTAGAGAGTCGGGGCGGCTGGCCGCCACACACGGCGGCGCGTGCAGTGGCACATGGAGATAAAACCTGAGGTCCTCCCTTAGGTTTTTCAACATACCGAATCCGCCATCCGTTTTCCCAAATTATAACGTTTTAATAGAGTTTTACTAATAGGTTCCTAATTGTGTTTAGGCGCATTGGCGGGAAGTAATCACATTCTTGATAGTTTGAGTGGCTTTCGGGCAATGGAAAACTAGTGAGTGGACCCCTTCTTAAGTTATATATTTTTATAAAATACTAGCCTAGCATGCATGACATATTTCATGATTCGAATGTGATTTATATTATGCCTTTATAGTTTTCTATAATTATGGCTTAAGAGAAATTAAGATTTATTAGAATTACTTTTACGAATAACGTTTATTTATCGAAACTACATTCTACTAAAGGTTATAAATTATGGGTTGGCATTTATGCATTTCTTTAGATATGAATTATTGGATTTGCATATATGGATTTCTGTATTAGGATTATGATTTATATGATGGGTTTACGGATATGGATTCATTATGATTTATATTGATGAATTGAGTTCGAAAGTTTATATGATTTATAAGATTAGACTTTGAGCTTTCGAGCTCCGGATTTGACATGGGATTTTGAGATATGTTTTTGGTGCTTATATCATACGGCACATCTACACACCAAGTGTATTATGTCTATGGCCATAGGACACAGATGATGGAGGAGTGAGATATGATATATTATATACCCCCAGCTTCACTGCAGAAAGCGGTGTTAGACAACTTCACTAGCCACGGTTAGTGTCGATGTAGATGTGCTATTTGATTCAGCTTCACCTACAGGTGATGGACATGTTATTTAGCTTGGCCTTCGAGTGATGGACAGGTTATTCAGCTTCACCTTCGGGTGATGGACAGGTACTGCCTTCGGGCGACTGTGATACCCCTAGTTGAGTACTTCACTGATGAGAATTACAAATTTTCCTTCGAGTCGAGCGATGTTTTCAGCATTATTAAGCATGGTTTTACATGTACATGTTTTATGAAGGTTTTGCGTGGCATGCTAGGGTTTTCATAAAACCTATACGTAGTATTATATATGTTTTCAAAACAGGGGGTTACTATGTTCAGAAATAAAATATTTTCCTATTATTAATACTATTATTATAAACTCTGGTCTACTCATCTTTTCTATTTTTACACCCCCTCAAGAGTTAGAATCGGGCCACATGATCCCAGCATCAAGGCTTTTACGGCATAGGTATCCTCGAGTCTTCTCAGTGTAGGTATCATTTCCTTGTTCGTATCTTTTTATAGTCATTCTTTCATATTATTCTTAGTTAGTTGTATGCTCCGAACACGTTCCTGCTTTGGCTTAATCTTGCCAATTACATATCTTTTATTGGTGAGCATGTTCAAAATGGCTTTGTCACCCTCGGGTGTCGGCCATCACGTGCCTACCCTAGTATGTGGGAATATCGGGGTTGGGGCGTGTCAACAACTATCTCAATACGTTATCATATGTTTCGAGTCTTGATTGAACTCGAAAGGGTGGCTTATGTAACGTTCCTGTAGGGTTTATGATGTCGGTACCTATGAGAATGTATGCTTTTGGTTCTAGATTGTAACTTAGATATTGATTTTCTTGCCTTGCTTCGTTTCCATGTTTCAACAATTTTTCTACACATGAACAACGTATTGAGATAGTTGTTTGTTAGATTTGAAAAGAACTCATCAAATACATGAATTGACAAAACTAAAAAAAAAAAAATTCCAAACCCTAATATAATCGCCCTACTTATATGAACAATAATATAGAATTTAGGGTTTTGTTTTTGCTTACCTAATGAATATTCGAGTATGGAAGTTGTAGAGTTGGGGGAGAGGGAGGTTGCAAACCACATTCCTTATTTTCACGATTATAGCTAAGATTTTTTTTTTAATTTTTTTTTAGCTTTAATATTAGTTAAATCCACATAAGCATTCATAGCATTTAATAAATTAATAAGAACGCTTGAATGTTATAAAATCTAAAGGCTATAAAGAAGTGTAAAAATGTTTGTAAAAATCTAAAGGCTGTCAAACTTAGTATCGTTCCT